TTAAAAAAAAGGACAAAGTTCAACAAGTACGCAATAGCAATTAAAATGAGAAAACGGAAAAATGACCACAAAATGTCGTATTAAGATCACATGACTTAACCACATAATCTATTAGTGACATGCCAGCCAAACTGGTTGAATAACGATTGTGAAACCGTCTCCATACGGTTGCACCCAGACGTCATGAGCTCCCAGTGTCCCCGTTTTGAAGCGATGATCACATACCGATCGATGTGATGGCCTTGCAGATAAGCTGCACAAAGTTAATAGAGAAAGACCCACTAAAAACATAGTCATTCCAGTAATTCCAATTTCCCCAAAGTAAGGCACAAACCCCTATACGGATATGACCCTTAAGGTTTTTGTTGATACCAACCAACCAGATTCCGAATAAATTTGGGACATTTGTTGGGGGTGACATATTACATGCAACAAGAGTCGCACGCCAAATCAAAGTTGTGAAAGGGTGAAAATAGAGAAATGTTAAATTATTTCATCTTGAACACAAAACAACACTTTATACATCTCTTATGGTTTCTTTTAGCCAAATAATCTTTGGTGAGGATCACTTCCTCTGTACAAATCACATAAAATTTTATCTCTAAAGGAACTTTAACGTTCCAAATATTATTTCTCTGGAACATGGGTCCCATATTTATAAGATCGGCATACATAGACATCTATACAAATCACATCAAATTTTATCTCTAAAGGAACTTTATTTTTCGAATATTCTTTCTGCGAAACGTCAGCCGCATATTTATAAGATTTGCATACATAGACTTAACAGCAAACACATTGCTGGTCTTAACTCTCCACCAAAACATTCGGCACGTGAGCTAAGTTGACCAACATCATCATACAAACTAAAGGAGCCATGCATCAATTTCTCACCAATTATGGCCCTCCCGAATTGGATGTCCAGAGGTGTCGATCCAAAAACATATTGAATTGTACCATCTCCTCTAACACTATATTGTAAATTGAAGGGTACATAGTCGCAAGCGGATTTTCACCTAGCTAGGTATCTCCCAGAAACTCATCGATTGGCCATCAGCAACTTCATCAAGCCCTTTCAAAATAGAGAATCGGTTGGTTTGGCATCCACTTCGGGAAGGCTTCCAAAACAGATATATTCTTGCAATATAAGTGTTATTATGGAGGAGCTCTTGCGAGACACCCTTCCCCATTTTGTAGCTTGAATAGCTATTTGCTATGCAAGCACTTATTTTTAATTTTGATGTTTTTGATGTTTCCGATGCATATCCATCCTAGGTCCTTTGGCCTACACAAGATATATGATTTAGCCAGTTGATACTTCCATTTGTGCTCATCACACATTTCTAGAAGAAGAAAAATACCATGTTTGTAATCGCTATTAATAGTTGATAAGATCCGAAGTTTTTGTAATTATCATGGTACTTGTTGGCTCCTGATCAGCTAAATGAACCTTATTAGCCAGACATCACATCCACACAAGGGGTAATTAATTTGATTGGCTCCAAGCTACCGTGTTGATGAATTGTCTTCTCGCGTAAACTACACCTATGTTAATCGAGCCGCTATCATGTTGTGCTTGCGAATTAATTTTTCCATAGACTAAAATCTTTAGTGGATGGGCCCGAGAGGAGCACCCTAATCAAATCCCAAAAGGATGTAAATACCCTCCAATTTATGTTCATCAAGACCAAATTAATCATGAAGATCAAGAACAAAGAATCTGAAGTGCTAAAAAGCCATGATGTATTTTCACCAAGTTTTTCTTTATCTACATTTGTACACCATCTAGCTACACAATATTACTCTCTTAAACAACACTTCATTGTACTATTTTATTTATCATATATGTCACCAATTCATGAAATTGACTAAATGATCCATATTATCTACTATATTATTCTTGCGTCACTTACCAAAACCCGATAAACTATCCATAACAAATATGAGCAACAACATATGGCTAACGACGCTTAAGCTCAGGCGCGGCGTGCTGCCGCACCTCTACCTGCTAGTATTCTAAATTCCGCCAGGCCCATGCAGTAGAGGCGGGGGTCTCAATGCATGCATGCCACTATAGGATGCTTCCACATGCAGGTGTGTCATGTTTTTCTACATGGACGGCAATAGTACAATATGGTGAGTCGTGACACTGTAGGGAGTGAGTATTACAACAGGTTGTTACTAACCTTCTAATTGGAGACCAAACCACAACCATAGTGTGTTTGGAAAGATGAGGCTCTCTAAAGTTAATCCATGATTTTGATTTGTCTTACTGTAAAGTGAATCTATGAAAGAGGTGTTTCGTCGGCTAGCTGAATTTGCGGGTAATCTTGATGAAATTTCCCAACATTTGTTTACTATTCTTAGAAGTTACCGATGCACAAAACTAATCATCAGGAACATAAGGGATGGACAAAAGTTTGATAAGAAAAGGATGCGTCGAAGCAGTGGCATGTGCTGCTGCAGTTCATGCCACTTGGGGATATTTTGCTTGCACTCGTGACAAGTTAACTATGCTTTTTAATTAGTGTTCCTCTGCCTAGAAAAGTACACGGTATAATCAAGCTTGTCACCACAAAAAAAGGAAACCATACTATAGTGACGATACTACTCGAGGAGTAAGTCAAGTTGCAGCCAAAACCAGTGCACGTGTGGAAGATTAGAGACAGCCACACTTGTAATCTCCCTTTAATTTGTGCTTTTCTCAAAAGTGAAAGTGATTAGCCAAGAGCTACCTAGCTCATCGTTTCACCATGAAATTGAAGACCACAGTCAAGAGTGGAAATGCTCAAAGTGTGTGTACCTACCACCTAACGCTCAGTTATGCGCATTGAGCTAAGGTAATCTTCATATCACTAATATATTTAATAAGATACTATATATGATTCATTCCATACGGGGTTAGTGCGGCTCACACTTCCTATTTAGCCAGGATTACATATATCTTACTGCATTGGGGGTTGATATTGTTAAGATATTGTATCGTAGTATGATATTGTTAGCACCACTCTCATCTTTAATTATAGTGCCACATTACTGGATATGTCCTTATGAGTTATATAACTGTAGCAGGGAGGCCTAATTAACATAGTTTATTGATTCATTTAGTTTCATAACCCTGATGATCACAGAACTATTTGCTAATTAATTTACCCCAGAAATCCACTATATATAAATGAAACGAATGTGAGACATTCATCGCTCAAAGTCACACTTAACTTTTCATACCATTTGATTGTTTGACAATGACCCTGTCAGTTGTTCACTTGCTGCACATGCACCACACTATACATGGAGACTCTAGTTCCCAACACCCAGCCAGCCATGGATATTTCAAAAAACAGATGATTAATCTTTAGCAAGAGAAAAAGATGAATCTTGGAGACAAGACAGTACACTGCACATAAAGGCCTCATGAAGGCCGGTCAAGTGGAGAAATATTTGGATAGAAGCAGATGTATATGCATCTTCTTATCCCCAACTTTAGTTGGCCACCCACCTTTGGCAAAAAGTACATGTTTCCACGGTTTTCCACATACATGCCCGTCATCGCGTAGTGTCATCTACTATGGTATTGTGTAGATTTACCAGTCATGTAGGCACCTGGTTTTTCTTCTTCTGGCCCACATGTTATATAGACATTACTCACTCTATGCCCAAACAAATATTCACACTGAGTAGAATCAAAATCCTAGCTACCAACATATAGTCTTTCGTGAGTGTTTCTTGGGCACCCCCCGCCTCCATGAGCCCTCCTAACATCGAGATGTGGAACACTATGGATAAAAATTTGTTTTGTCCTTGTTTAGAGTTTAGAGTTTAAGTTATTTTTTCTGATACTCATTATGTGTGTATGTCTTGATGTTGAGACTATGTCGTAGACATTAAAAGACCTACGGATCCATCGCAGTCCTAGTATGCGGTCGTCTGGTCAATACAGAGCTTGTTATGTTCCACTCCTACGGATTCATGACTTCTGATCCAGTGGATTGTTGTCCTGCAGAAATCGTTCTTCCCTATGATTTGTCCTTGCACTTTTTCGTTCAATCTCCACCGGTCGAGCCGGTACATAGCCCGTTTGCTTCAATCAATGGGGAATTGATTCAGATGGAGACTAAAAACTTAATTTGTTGCATGTTGCAATGATTAGGTTAAAACAAAACAAATTGATAACGACAATAGATTGCTGCCACTCACACAGAACATATTAAAAGCTATTGTCGGACTGTATTTGTGCCCAATAATTTGTTGAAGCATAATTACAAAGAAGAGATTTGTTGTCGCAGAAAGGAAAACTATATGTAGTTCACACTTTAGTTCACCGTACGTGGTTGTATCGTATATTATGCACTTTACAACAAAGCTACTAAACTAGTTGGGTCGACATACAGCGACTCATTTACCAAACAAAGTAGACGAAGTTGAAGAAAATGAAGCACAAGAACAATAGTGCTACTACTTAACTAAGTACAAGTACAACTCATGTAATTAATTACTAGCTGATGGTAAATACTCGACTAACTAAGAAAATTTCAATTAATTACATAGCCTAACTAGCAAACCGGAGGAAAAGAGAACATAGGAGGAATAAGATAAACTGATTAAGGCAAGAACGTGCTATCTCCACCACCAGCCGGCGCGGCCAGCTCACCGCACCTCCCGCACCTGTTTTTCCCTGCCACTACGACCACTAGCGTAGGTGCAGGGGCTGGAACAGCAACGATGGAGGCGCGGCAAGAGGGGCAGCTGGCGCAGGTCCGGAGCCAAGCATCGATGCAGAGAACGTGGAAGGTGTGGCCGCAATGCGGGAGAACGCGCATGCTCTCCCCCTCCGCGAACTCGGCTAGGCATATCGCACACTCCGTTGCTGCCGGTTGCGGTGAAGCGACTGTGGCGAAGGAGATGGTGGGGAGCGCCTCAGTTGCCTTCTTCTTGAGGCCCTCCGGGGCTGGGTTAGAGAACGAACTGGAGCTGGAGCATCGGTGTCGGCATGCGCACCGGGAAGCAAGAGCGAGTCCGAGGACGCAAACGAGCGTGCACATCATTGACGCCAGGATGACCGCCATGTCTGAGTCCACCGTCATCGGCGCTGCCTGCTCCGGCGGTTGCTGTGGTGAAGTAGGCGACGACGACGACGTCCCTCCGGTGCCGGAGGTGGCGAGGGTGGCCGCACGTTGCAGGACTCTTGCCGGAACGCGCATGGTCTTGTTGTCGCCCGGAATGCTCTGGTGGCTAAGAGCTAGTTTTGATTGGAGCATATGTATTGGTCTGAGTTCTGACCGTGGACTGCGAACGCATGGTTTTTTTATAGGGTCAGTGGGGTGGTGGCGCAAGGACCAGTGGGCTCCTGGACAGGCAACCGGGTCCATGCATGCCACTCGAGGATATTTGTCCATGCAACCCTGGCAGCTTGGTTTGTACTATTATCCATTTGGTTTGCTCCATGGAAGGATATTTGTCCATGCCAATCAAGTATCTAGGGACACCACTGTTGTACTGAGTGGTAGTGATCAGTGGTGAAAATAGTAACTAAAAGTCTAATTATAGACCAGACACTGAACCACAGTATGTGTGAAAAGATGAGACACGCTTTAGCACTTTTAGATCGTGCTATGCTAAAAAAACAACAAAATTGTGGTGCTAAGAGCATCTCCAACCAGGGACATTAAATACTTTCCATATGTCCGGACGGACAACCGCGGTAGTGTCGGGATACGAGAGAAAAATATGCTATCCAACCAATCTTCCAAATCGTCTTCATATGTTTGGGATGTCCACTCATATGTAAGGAGTAAATGAGGGTGTTCGGACAGCTCACCATGTTAAATTCAGACCAAGTTTCTCTTCTTTTTTTTCTCTTTTTTTCGGTCCTTCTGGTTTCTCCATCCCCACCAGTTATATGTTTGTGAATGGACAATTTGAGGTACACAACTGCATCAATAGACAAATAAAGGTTCAATGTGTACATGCCAAACACTGTCTGTTTGTCTCTATAGACATGTAAGGGGTCAGATTAGGCAAGTCCGATGGAGATGCTCTGTGTACTTTTCTTATTTGGAAGTGAAGCGGGAAAATAGGTAGATTCGAGGCCCCTTTTGACAAAAATCATGTTTTGATCATTTTCAATTAACTATTATTCTCTTTTTCTTTTTTCCAGCGGTGAAGGGTGCTAGTACACGCCTACATGCATGAAACTTCAAGGATTTGTTCGATTTAGTATGGATTATGTGTCGACTGAGAGGGGGTTGGCAGGGAACTTAGCACAATGCTCTACAAATGCCATTTTTCAGTAGGCAAGAGCATATATTATTAAATTGTCCAGTTCTTATTAGACCATCCTTACAAAAATAGAAA